AAAATGAAGAACTGCGAAGGACTTAGCTATTCTCAGCAATACAATGATCACGACAATTCCAAAGGACTAATGAGGAAGCATACTACCCAGCTCCAGAGAAAGAACTGATATTGTCTGAATAGACTGAAGCATGTAATTTTTTTCTTTCATTTTTTTGAGTCTTCTTATACAAAATGACTAATATGGAAATGTTTTACATAATTACACATGTATAACCTATATCTGACTGCTTACCATCTGGGGGGGAGGGGAGAGAAGAAGGAAAGATAGAATTTGGCACTCAAAACTTCTTTTTAAAATGTTAAAATTATTTTAACATGTAACTAGAGGGAAAATAAAATATGCATTTTTTTAAAAATCAATTTTTCATTCTTAAAATGATAAGTAGCATCTACCTAAAACCTTCATCAAGCATCATATGCAATGGGGACAAACTAGAAGCATTTCCAATAAGATCAGGAGTGAAAAAAGGATGTCCATTGTCACCCCTGTAGTTCAATATTGTACTGGAAATGTTAGCTTTAGCAATAAGAGAAGAAAAAGAAATTGAAGGTATTAGAATAGGCAAAGAAGAAACAAAGCTATCACTCTTTGCAGATGATATGATGAAATACTTAGAGAATCCTAGAGAAACAAGTAAAAAACTACTTGAAATAATAAACAACTTTAGCAAAGTTGCAGGCTATAAAATAAACCCACACAAATCATTGGCATTTCTATATATTACCAACAAAGCCCAACAGCAAGAAATAGAAAGAGAAATTCCATTTAAAGTTACTGTAGACATTATAAAATATTTAGGCGTCTACCTACAGAAACAAACCCAGGAATTATATGAACACAATTACAAAATGCTTTTCACACAAATAAAGTCAGATCTAAATAACTGGAAAAACATCAGTTGCTCATGGGTAGGTCAAGCTAATATAATTAAAATGACAATTCTACCTAAGCTAATTTACTTATTCAGTGCCAAAGCAATCAAACTACCAAAAAATTATTTTGTAGAGTTAGTAAAAATAATAACAAGATTCATTTGGAATAACAAAAGGTCCAGAATATCAAGGGACTAATGAGAAGAAATGTAGGGGAAGGTGGCCTAGCCATTCCAGATCTTAAATTGTATTATAAAGCAGCAATCATCAAAACTGCTTGGTACTGGCTAAGAAATAGAGTGGTGGATCAGTGGAATAGGTTAAGTATGCAAGACACAGTAGTCAATGACTATAGTATCTATTATTTGATAAGCCCAAAGACCCCAGCTTCTGGGATAAGAACTCACACTTTGAAAAAAACTGCTTGGAAAACTGGAAAAGTGTACGGCAGAAACTAGGTACTGATCAAAATCTCACATCACATACCAAAATAAAGTAAAAATGAGTTCATGATTTAGATATAAAGGCTGATACTATAAGCAAACTGGGAGAGCAAGGAATAGTTTACCTATCAGATTTATGGAGAACAGAGGAATTTATGACCAAACAGGAGATAAAGAACATTACAAAAAGCAAAATGGATAACTTTGATTACTTTAAATTGAAAAGTTTTTGCACAAAGCCAATGCAACCAAGATCAGAAGGAAAGTAGAAAATTGGGAAAGAATTTTTACAACCAGTCTCTCTGATAAGGACCTCATTTCTAAAATATATAGAGAATTAGGTTAAATTTATAAGAATACAAGTCATTCCCCAACTGACAAATAGTCAAAAGATATGAACAGCTCTCAGATGAAGAAATTAAAGCCATCTATAGTCATATGAAAAAAATGCTCTAAATCACTATTGATTAGAGAAATGCAAATCAAAACAACTCTGAGGTACCACATCACACCTATCAGATTAGCCAACATGACAAAACAGGAAAATGATAAATGTTGGAGAAGATGTGGGATAATTGGAACATTAATGCATTGTTGGCGGAGTTGTGAAATGATCCAACCATTTGAGAGCAAATTGGAACTATGCCCAAAGGGCTATAAAAATGTGCATACCCTTTGACCCAGCAATAGCACTTCTAGGGCTATATCCCAGAGATCATACAAATGGGAAAAAGACCTATCTGTACAAAAATATTTATAGCAGCTCTTTTTGTGGTGGCAAAGAATTGAAAATTGAGAGGATGACCATCAATTGGGGAATGGCTGAACAAGCTGTAGTATATGAATGTAATGGAATACTATTGTGCTCTAAGAAATGATGAGCAGGAGGACTTCAGAAAAACCTGCAAAGACTTGTATGGACTGATGCCGAGTGAAGCGAGTGGAACCAGGAGAACATTGCACACAGTTAACAGCCACGTTGTGCAATGACTAATATTGATAAACTTAGCCCTTCTCAGAAATACAAGGATCTAAGACATCTCCAAAAGTCTCATAATGGAAAATGCTATCCACATACGAAGAACTATAGAGTTTGAATGCAGATCGAAGCATACTATTTGCTCTTTTTTTTTTCTTCTGTTGTGTTTTGTTTCCTTTCTGGCAGTTCCTCCTATTAGTTCTAATTCTTACTTATAACATCACTAATGTGAAAATAGGTTTAATAGGAATGTATATGTATAGCCTATATCAGATTGTTCACTGTCTTGGGGAAGGAGGAAGAGAGAGAAGGAGACAAAAATTTATAATTCAAAAAGCTTATGGAAGTGATGGTTGATAATTCAAAATAAATTTAAAAAGTTAAAAAGAAAAAAGAAAATATATTTTTTAAAAATCAATTTCACAAGCACAAGATGGAGAGGCTAGGCTAGATGAAGTTTGTCTGAAGATCTAGGAGCTTTAGTAGACTGCAAGCTTAATAAACAAACAGTATAATATAGCAGTCAAAAGAACTGATTTTAGGTAGCACTGAGCAGCACTGTCCAGACCTGTGAAAGTAACACCTTATTTTGCTCTAGTCAGACCACATCTAGAGTCCTGTATTTAGACCTGGGTGCCCCATTTTTGGTAGGTCAGTGAAATACCTGAGCAGGTTCAGAATTCAGAAGATGGCAAGGAAAATGGTAAAAATGCAATGGAGGTCCGTATGCAAAGGTCTGATGACCACTTGTCTAGTATGTTGTGGATGGGATCCTTGTTCCAGGAGGGGTCAGACTAAAAGTCTCTGAGCTCCCAACTTGGAAAATAGTCTAAATGAATACAGGAGAATGAGAAGAGAGCCTTTGCTGAACTGGGAAAGTGAGGTCCCTACAGGATTTGAGACGCCATGGTAGAATACACTGAACACAGGTAGAATATGCTCTCTAAATGATAAAAAAAAAAAACAGTGGAAAAATAGCTCTGGAAGGTGCTATATGAGAAAAGAAAAGCAATATTGTAGGTAGGGAAGAAACATTAGATTGGTTAATTCCTTATTTTAACTACCAGCCGACCCTGTTAACCCAGGTCAGCTCGGTTACTGTCCACCTGCAGTAGCCTCAGTGGAGAAAGAAGTGTGTAATAGGCTGTTAGAATGTATGACAAGGAGAGCTTGTACACTGAAATGCCCATGAACTACAAAACATCAAAAAGAAAAACTGAAATAACTAGATTTGAGAAATAGACCGTATGTGTAATTTCATTTCCAGATCTACTCCCATTCTGATTAAATTAAAGGAACTGGGTTTATTTCAACAGAGAAGGCAAAGAGAAAACTAAATATTAATATTCAAATAGTAATCGGCAACTTCTGCTTTCCCTACAGTTGTTTTAAAAGTAACATTTAAGTTTGATGCTCAATTAGTGACACTCAATTCTAAGGATCATAAGGCAGAATTAATGAAGAGTCTCTGGACATGTCAGAGAAAGAGAACAATTTTTTTTTGGTGGGAGGCAGTCCTACCTAGGCATAGGGGGGGCTAGATTAGATCACCTCAGATCCTCCCAGTCTGTGATTCAAAGAATTAAGGGGTGGGGGGGAGACAAAGGGAACGTGTAAACAAATGTAAAGTAAAAACACTTGATGGCCAAATTCATGCCTTGGAAATACATGTCAGACAGCTATCTTGCCATCTGTTATTTTTTAATGAGGAAAATAAAGTGTTTAAGAAAACACAATTGACTGCAATCTATAAACAGCTTCAAGTTTGCTATTGACAAACCATGGATATTGTTGAAAAATAAGCATAAACTGAGATGTTGAATTTACAATTTGCAGAGGGATTTTAAGGCTCATAGGGCTCTTTTCTGATTTTTCCTACCTGTCCAGTACATATTGGAAATAGCATCCCTATCTTACACAAGTAAAGTGAGGCTGAGTCACGAGTTGCAGTCGTGGAGCTGGTATCTAAGCCATGTTTTGAATACAGGTCTAAGTCTGCATTCTTCTATTTCACAGCATTATCGTAAAGACTCAAAGCAGATAATGGACATGTGTTTTGAAAAGTACAAACTCATAAACATTATTTGGTACTTTGTTTCAAAGGGTTCGAAATGCTTCATGTGAAGTTTTTTCCACACACACACATTACCTCACCCAAAGGACACAAGAACTTTTTCTTGTATTTTTGCATTTAGACCCGTCAGGGTAGATAGCTGTGCCATTTTCCCCTAGCCAAAAAGCACTCATTACTGATGGATAAGTGTGGCATTGAACGGTTAAGTAACCAATATTAGGCATCCACCAGCAAAGATAATTTGCACCACATTGTGGCTCCCAGTCCAATAATCTTTCCAGTAATTTATGCCACTTCCCTTGTTCCCAGAACCAAGAAGTTAAATGGGAAATTTCTAAACAAAGGTGAGGACAAAATAGGGAAACTTGTAAAAGGATGCATAAGTTTAAAATATTAATAAAAAGGTCATATGCAATGAAAAGCATATGCCAAGGGATCCTAAGACTTATCTAAGGAGTCTTAAGGGGTTCGAGTGCTCCATACAGCTAAGTATTTACATGGTTTGGGAGATGATGAATGGGAAACCAGCCCACAAATTCCACAGGACTTCTACAGAACAAGGTTCCATTAAAAAAAAAAATCACAAGACAGATGTCTCATCCATTCATTTTCAAATTGTCAAACTGGGATCACATAAACAGCACATTTCTCATTTTTATTTCAACATTTAGGATAGTCACAGATGGAGCATTATATTCTCCATGGCAGACAGTACCAAAGCATACAGACATTCCACAATGGTTAACAAACTGAATTATACATTTGTAATTTTTGAATTTTTATCCCCTAGAGATAGCATTCTCATCATGTTATATCCAAACAATTTTTTAGTTTTGAGTATTTTGCTGGCCTCGCTTCCATTAGAAGAAATACCTAAAAAGGAGTACATAGTACAGGCATACTCAAATTGCATTTACATTTTCCACTGATGATTTTTCACCCTACTGGCATTTATCAGGTATAAATCATACTGTATACATCAATGATAAACTATTAGACCAGTGTGAACCATGTAGTATATATTCAACCAGTCAATGGACTCTAATATTTTATTCAAAGACTTTATTCTGTATCACCCAATTCCAAATATGCTTTCTGAGTTGTCAATCTACCACACTGATCTACTCAACTCTTGATTCTTTTGAACACTGAATTTTACTAATATTGGACAGCTTTAATTTTTATGGGGTATATACCAAATCTTAAAACACCACAGCACAATGCACAGCTACCAAGGAACAATGTTGCCTAAAAACCCAGGAAAACAGACAATGTGCATTAGTCACCTGCAACATGTTTGTCATTAGTTTTTTGGAGCTATTCAAACACTTCTTCCAGACTGTGACACTTCAGAAATTTGCTTACAATTCCATATAACCTCTTACATTTTGGAATAAGGTTACAAAGATATTTCTGTCTTTCCTCATCATCAAAAAAATTCTTCTAATTTTTCTAAATATCCTCAGAGCTTTTATATAAATATTCCTTTAAGGCTTACAGAGCATTTTCCTCAGAACCAGAAGCGAACTATTATCATCTCCATGTTACAGACTAGAAAACTGATATACAAAGACGTGACTTGTCCATGGTCAATGTCAGAGCCCAAAACTGAACCCAGATCATAGGATCCTAGATTTAGAAGGATTTCATAGGTCATCATCTAATCCAACCCTCTCATTTTAGAGGAGAAAACTAACTCCACATTGAGCACTTTTTCCATTACATACCACTGCTTCTTCTATTTAAAAAAAAAGGCTGAACATCATCAAAACATCTTTAAGAGCTGACAAAGTAGGTGGTTTTCTATAAAAGGCATTTTGTACTTATAAAGCATAAGAGGAAAATGCATCAGGAGTTTTTTTGTTGTTGTTGCATTAATAATAGGTTCACACGCTGGAGTAATAGTACAATTTACTGAGGCCTAAATATCAATACATCAGTTCTTTAAGTATCATACTTCCAGGGCCAAATTTTACTTGTCAAGAGATTTTACTTTAAAGAATGATGAATAAGATAATGCTTCCCTTTAACCCACACAAACGATAATAAAATTAACCATGTATTGAATACTCAGTGGGTGTATTTGATGTGTAGTTTTAACAGATAACAAGTTATTACTAATATCAATGCAACTACCTCTATGTATAAGTATTTTAACAAGCTGCTCAACACCTAGATTGATGGATTTCAGCACCATCTTCACAATAGCAAAGTATATTATTAATGTGTTAGCTTACAAATTCATTTAAAGCTTTGAAATACACCTTGTTAGTCAGAAAGGAACGATACTTTTAAATCATAATAGGGTTAAATGCTTCCCTCAAAAATTGGGCAAAATTTCAGTCTACAGAAATACAATTTGAATCTTTTGGTCTATATCATAGGTAATTTTATATATCAAGAATTTCCTTATTCCCCCAAAGTATATACTTAATCAAAATGTAATGCAAGATACTATAAGAATTCATCTAAAAAGTACAAAATCTCACTTAAAAAGAGTAACTTTTAGTTAAGAATCAGCAACTATATTCATTGGCCAAATAGTCTTAAAATTAAGCTCTTGACTACTCTATTATAAAATGTTTTCTAGACTGCAAATCCAACGAATACACTTAATAGGAAGGTTGGAGTTCCTAGGCATTCACTGAGAACCAATGAAACACTGTCAAATAGCTAAGCTGACTGATGGTAGTAGTCACTAGGGGTTTGCTACCAAATCCAAATCCACTCTGTCAACAAGAATTTATTCTTAAAAAACCTTTAAGAAACAATATATGAGTAAATCATAGTCGCATAGTTATATGAATTGATCTTAAAGTGCCACTACAGTAAAAGAATCTCAATTTTCATAGTCCTACCTGAATGTATATTCTATTCTAAAACTGTGATCAATTTTGGATCATTCAAAATATAAATATTTTTATCCCTACTTGCCTTCAGTCTAAAGTTCTCCCCATCTTTTCTAACTACTCAGTTACATTTCCCTTTAACACACACAAGATTTTCACAAGTATTGCATGGTTTCACACACACACATCACTATCAATGCCCTCTTCAGATCTTATAGCTATTATGTTCATTATCAAATTTTCTATTTCATCATTCCTGTGCCTCCCTCTTCAGACACAATAGGGGAAAGGAGCTAAAAGCTAACTAAGTGTAGGTCAATCAAATCCACTTAGGTACATATTGGCACTAAGTGCATGGCCAAAACAATATCATTCCCAACAGACTAATGTGGGAGAAACCATAGAAAACAAGTATCAGTCTATTCTTATAAAAGTTTACTATAATAATATAGCAACATGGTTAAACGCAATTATTTCTCTGATGACAAAGTTTATATACTATCATACTCTCAGATGGCAAAGTCTATATACTATCCATACTCTCTGTATCTAAAATAAAATGTTAGGACCAGTAAACTTTCTGGATTTTTATTAAATCCTAATCTGAGGTAATTTAACAACAATATCTGATTTTACAGACATCATCCTAAAAATCTGTAAACATCTTTCAAAAGTAAAGGCAAATTAAGACTTTCATATCATGATTTTCTGCAGACTAAACAAGGTGGCTTGGTAACTACACAAAACTCTGGGGTAATTAACATACATTTGCTTGGAGTAAATACAAGCAAAGTTCATTTTAAGTGTAAAGTAATATTTATTACAGTAGAATTAATTCTAAGGCTTCTATATACAGTGTTTAAATTGACAATTGGTACCTAAATAAGTGATACCTTAATATTTCAATACCACTGAAGTCTCTAAATACTAACATTATATTATTTAAGGGAAAGAAGTAAAATTAAGTTTCAAAAAGACAAGCCACCCTAGGGAAAAACAAAAGAAATAAAGAGGGAAAGAAGTAAAATTATGACAGTGGAAAAAGTTAAAGTCAAATCAGTTTTGGATATTTGGATATTTTGAAGAGAAAAGATAAGCTCTAGCTTTCACAAATCAAATGTTTATTGTTAAATTCAATGCTATTCAATGCCTTCTTAACATTAGTTGAGCTGAAACTAAAGATCTACAAATTGTTAATATTGGCCTTACCAGTAACCAATGCTTCTGATCAAAAAAGGCCACAACAGTTAGATTTTATTACTTGATTTTATTTTACACTAGGTGGTGGATGCAAAGCATTCCTTTTTTAATAAAGTATAGACAATTAGCTTCACTCAGAATACACTTTTAATGCACATTTAAAAAAAAAGGATTCATCTTACAAATTGTTTTGCAATCCAAATATACAATAGCTTGGAAAACAAATAGTTTAGAAAACAAAAGCCAATGTAAAAAGACTGATTAAAACAACTAAAACAGTACAGGTTTCATATGGCTCTGATTTTACAGTTTTCTTACTGCATCATCAATATCAGAAATCTGTTCCTTCAGCTGGCTCCATTGCTCTGGATTTAAAGAAATACCTAAAACACATTTTTTTGAAAACAGAGTTACAATTTATTTTTAGTGCAGAGCTTTACAAATGAAACTTTACAACTGAAACATCACAATTTAAATTTTTAATTAATCAATCTTGAATATCATTAAGAGTTTTAAAAAAAATTATTACTGCTATGTAGTAATTTCTCTACAAAGCCTTCTCTGGCCAGGCCACATAAGATCATTATTGCTTATATACCATCTCCACTTTGACTGACTAGCATATCTTTCAATTTTTAAATATATTCCTGTGCAGTACTGATAAGTAATCAGAGCAAATGATAATATACAGCTATAGCACAGTCACCAGGAAAGTAGCAAACCAAGCAGACACGTACAAATTTGCTGAATAACCACTAAATCCAGTACCGAGCAAGGTTTTCTCCAAAGATCCACAGGAACCCAGGAAATTCACTTAGTTCTAGAGTGTTAAGCAGGTCTTAGGGTACAGGCCCCAGGCCAAGACTCTTAGGACATCTCTTTTTTTTTTTTTTTGGCTAGGCAATGGGGTTGGGGTTAAGTGACTTGCCCAGGGTCACACAGCTTGTGTTATATGTCAGGCCAGATTTGAACTCAGGTCTTCCTGAATCCAGGGCCGGTGCTCTATCCACTGCACCACCCAGCTGCCCCCTTAAGACATCTCTGATGAAGCTAACTTGGGACAGGGAGACCACAAAGTGCAGGATACATTAAGCAGTATTTCTGAAAACACACTAAATAGTCACATTTCACTAAGTTCTGGAGGTTACAAAACCTAACAATACAAATGAAGGGACAGTAATCACCCTAGAGAGATAGTAAAGAAAGTAAACTTCTTTTTTACTATCACATCTCTAGAAGTTAGCATAGGCCAATAAAAATATATAGTACATTAGCAAACTATCATATTTTACACAAAGTTATCACTATGGGTGTAATCTGGATGTACGCTCATCAAGGCCAAGTATTATATCTTTGTCTATCTTATTCTCCAAACCTCCAACATTTAAGGCATTAATCCTATGAATAAATAAGTGGAAAAAAATTAATTTTGGAGATTCCTGTATGTACAGGGGTAATAACAAAACTGTGAAATGTTATTAGGGAACTAGGAAAAGACTATTTAAACTATTCAAATAGTTTAACATTTGCAGCAACAAAAAAAATCTCTCTAACATGCTGGACTGATTACTGCTGAAAGCAGAAAGGGACAGAAGGCAAGTGAGACACCAATATTCAAGATGATCTGAACAAAAATTAAAGAAGGTGATAGATACTATAGAAAAAGCAATAAAATTTAACAATACCATATGTGAGATAATGAAATTGTATATAAAGAGGAAGGACAGCAAATGGAACACTCCAAATGACAGGGAAGTGGGGTAAAGAATAGAGAAAATAAGCAGCATTTTGTCTCAAGCTAACACTTTGAGGCAGTCCAAATGGCTGTCCATATGTTCATGTGGCTGCTGTGTCAAGATTCACTCACTATTTGATGTGTGCACTACTTCTATTACAGAATAACTCTTACTTTGGCTTCAGTGGCTCACCAACCACTATTGGTCTTATAACCTCTCTCTAATCACTCCTTAACAAGACCTCAATCTCCTTCCCAACATGTTAGTGTTAAGTTCTCTCCAAGTCCCATCCTTGGCCCTCTTCTCTCAGCATTCTCTTCCCTATGCAAATTCATGGACTTACAAAACTTCAAGAATCCCTTCTATGCAGGTAAATCTCCAATTTGAATCTCCAGCCTGAATCTCTCTTCTAATCTCCAGTACTACCTCTCTGTCTGCCTATTTCACAATCCACCAGTACTTCTAAATCAATATGTGCAAAACTGAGCTCATTATCTTCATCACTAAACACTTCTCTCTCTAGCACCACCACTCACACCCTCACAAATCTGAAACCATGGAGGCATTCTTGACTCTTCCTCATCTCTCATAACCAATTGTGAGTCATTTCAATTCTATCTCTGTAAGTCTCATAACTATCCCCTCCTTTTTAATTTCCATTGCCACTATACCATTCTTCAATACAAACCACTTAGGCCATTGTAATGGCCCCCTAATAGATTTTACGGCTTCAATCCTTCCCCCTTCTAATTATCCTTCTTACAAAGGCCAGACTGATTCTTATGGGAAGAGAAGGTGATATCATTCCTAAGTTCAGTAGCTCCCCACTGCCTAACAAAGTAAAACGCATAGAATTCCTTAGGGAGTATCTGCTCCTACATCCTCATCTTATAGATGAAGACACTAAAACACAGGTAAGTTAAAGAGATTTACCCAAGGTCATGCATGTTAGAAATGGGATATGAACACAGGCTATTAGACTCTATAGTCAGTGTTTTGTTTTGTTTTGTTTTCCATTACAACAACTCCTCTGACATTCAAGGCTTTCCACAATCTGGAACCATCTTACCTCTCCAGCCTTATCTCTTACTATTCTCCCCTCCATCCATACTCTATGTGCCAACCAAACTAAACTATTCTCTCTCCCCCTAATACACTCTGAACTTTGCCAGTTTTATGACTGTAATCCTGCTGTAGTATAATGAATAGAACACGCTAGACTTGGGAGTCAGGAAGACCTGAGTTCAAATACTGCCTCAGATACTTACTACCTATATGACCCTGGGCAAAGCATTTAACTTCTTTCAGCCTCAGTTTCCCCAACAGTAAAATGGAAGTAATAACACCTACCTCCCAGGGTCACTGTGGAAAACCAAATGAGACTACACAAACTTTAAAATACTATATAAACACTGATTACTTTTCCCTATGCCTTCAATGTCCTCTCTCTTCAATTTAACCTATTTCATTCCTATCTATCGTCCACGAAAGACCAAATAACATGCTACTTCTTCCACGGAACCTTCCCTAATTTCCACCAACTAGCAATGATGGCTCCCCACCTTTAAGCCACACAAAACACTTGGTTCTGCACCTTAATGAACTTAATTATGCATGTTATAGTAATTTGTGTTTCTGTCTTACACCACCACTAGAATAAACTCAATAATGCAGTATGCCATAAGTCTAAGAGTCAGGTGAGCTGGGGGTTTGAGTCTCAACTCCTGAAACTTAATAGGGATTTGATCCCCCAAGTGGGTCACTTCTCTGAGGCTGTTTCTTCATCTATAACATACACTACCCCAAAGGCATATTTCAAAGAAAGTGCTTTGTAAACTTTAAAAGCACTGTAAGAAGCATATGAATTTTTATCATTGTTCTACATCCCTCAAGAACCTAACACAATGTTCTGTACACAAATGGCCCTTAAATAAATGTTTGTTGAATTGAAAAATGAATTAAGCTATTTCCTTAATTCAAGAGCAAAAATTAAGTCTTCTTTTTCCTTTGTGGCACCGAATATGGGACTCAATAAAGCAGGTGCTCAACAAATGCTTCTTGAATAAACAAAGATTTAAATAAAACAGATGTGAGACAAGATAAAGAAGGGAAAGGTCAAGGATAAGGATAAATATCAACGATCAATCTCTCTTACAGATCAAAGACAGAGAATATGTCCCTCCTAGGGAAGGGAACCTAAAAAAGAAATAGTATTCCCAACTAATTTTTTGACAGCCTAGCTGGCCTCCAATTATCCAAGAAATGCTGTTAAAACAAAATAATTTCAACCAAAAATAATTAAAATCTCAACTTGATGGGCTATAAAGGGACATTTTGGAAGTTCTCTGTACTACAAACAATCAAAAAATGTTACATTAAACTTTATATGTGTGTGCGTTTTGTGTGTGTGTGTGTGTGTGTGTGTGTACGTACACACATATATATATAAAATTTTTAAATCTGTGCAGTAACAGATCATGTTTAAATTTCTAAGTAGAACATATCCAGAAGGGTGTCTTAGCAGTAATTGAATAAAGTTAATCTCAACATTCTTAGGATTTCACAAGTGAAAGTACTCTCCACTGATAATTCCTCCTTGCCTTAGTAGATAGTTTCATGAGTTTCTGTGGCCAAAAAGTTCAATCACTTTGTAACCAACTTTCTGGTGACAGGCTTGATGACCATAGCTGAAGTCTTTCCTGTATGGTAGTACCTGCCATGACACAACAGACCCCACTGGTATAGCCAAATAGTCTAAAAGAAGTTAAGGTCACCACCTACAGGCCAAAAGGAAGCTTCAGAATGGGATTTTTTTTTAAATCTGACACTAATAAGTACATAAAGAGGAGATTTATTTAACTTACACATTAATGATAAAATTACCTAATAAGAAATCAAAGTAATTAGGTTTTAGGCAAATCATGTAGACAAGACCCTTTATATTCTATACTATATGTATTCTTTAGAGACATATAAGTATGGTTCCATGGTAACAATCCCCACAGACAGTTATCTTTCAAACGGGGAAAAAAAAATAACTTACCTTTTCTACCAGGTTTCATTTCACCTTCCTGATCCATCCAGTATTCTCTAATATCAATTAGGACTTTTCCTTTAAAGTCCCGAACACTGACATATCTCATTTTTCCAATCTGCAAATAAAATAAGCCCATGAAAGATTCCTATAGATATTTATTTGCGAAATAAATTGTGTACAGACTTAAAGCACATTAATCATTGAATATTTTGCCTAAAACTATCTGATTCTATTATTTGGTTATGAAAAATCTCATGACTACTATTTGACTACTGTTCTCAATAAAGTCAAAGTATCTCCATAATAAAATTCAGTAAAATTTCTCTTAAAAATCTTCCAAATATTTTCAAAAACAGCTAGGAATGTTAAAAACTAAATATAATTTAATTTTTTAAAAAACAGCTAGGAACAAAGGAAAACATTTACAAAACTGCATTAATAAATTTGGAAAGGAAACTATTGTCTTTGTTTTTTTTTTAAATAAATTTCTATTGGTGTCTTCTTTTTCTTACATCATCATAATTATGCCCCCAGTGTCCCCTCTGACTCCCTTTCAGAAAACCATCCCACCTATCAAGTAGTATTTTATTTTTTTTGCTTTTTGGTGAGGCAACTGGGGTTAAGTGGCTTGCCCAGGGTCACACAGCTAGTGAGTATCATGTATCTAAAGCAGGATTTGAACTCAGGTTCTGATTCTAAGGCTGAAGCGCTATCCACTGTACCACCCAGCTACCCCCTTCAACTAGTATTTTTTTTTTAAAAATCAACACAATTGATTAACATATGAAAAACATGTACAATGTTAACACCTGTCACTTCTACAAAGGAGTAGGCTATGGGTTTCCCCTCATATATCTTCATTTGAGTCATAATTGATCTTTATTATTTTGTTACATTCACTTCAGATTGGGGGTGGGGGATGGTTCTTTCCATTTTGGAATTGTAATTATTATATATATATATATATATATATATTGTTTAATTGGCTTTGCTTATTTCACTCTGCATCAGTTCACATTCATCAACTGTTTATATATGTTTAATATCATCAATGTTTAATTTTATCAAAGAGACTACACAAAGATTTTTTTCTCATTCAATCACTTTCTTTCTTAGGTGCATTAATTTTATCTGTGAAGGATCTTTTCACTTTCATATAATCAAAGTAATCTACTTTATATTTTGTAACTGCTGCTTTCTCTTATTTGGCTAAGAATACTTCTACTTATAGCTTTGAGAGGTATATGATTTGTTTCTCTTCTAATTTTAATCATATGACCTTTAATATTACGGTCACATATCCATTAAAATGTTATCATGAAGTACAGTGTAAGGTATTGGTCTAAACCTAATTTCTGCCTGACTGATTTTAACAGTTTTCCCATCAGTTTTTATCAATTTGAGTTTTTTTCTAAGTAATTTATGTTTTCCACTTTATCAAACACTGGGTTATTGAGTTCCACTGTTTCTGATTCTCCCTTTTCTAGTATGTTCTAATGATCAAATATTTTAATCAATACCAGATGATTTTGATGACTGATGCTTTAGAATAGTTTGATGTCTAGAAATGCTATTCTTCCTTCATTTGATTACTTTTCATCATTTTTTTCAACATCCTAGATCTTTTGTTAATGAACTGTTAGTATTTTATCAGGTTCCATAAAATATCCCCTTGAAAATTTGATTAGTGTAGGAAACTATCATCTTTGAAAGAAAACTCTTTAGAGTATAAACTACAAGGATACATATTCACAACAAATACTAAGTGATAAAATGCATAAATTTAATGCTTTTTGTTTATAAACAGTTGATAAATATGTATATATAACTAATACAAACATTGTATACACACACACACACGTAGCCATTTCCCGTAGACAAGTGGTCAAAGAACATGAACAGTTTTCCAAAAAACTGCAAAGTATTCAAAACCACATGAAAGAATACTCTAAATTACAAGAGAAATGAAAACAACTTTTCTAAGTTTTCTCTTTACACTCTGTAATGCTAGTTCCAGAGGAGAAAGACAGCAATCAAAAAGCATTTGTTAGGTGCCTATTATGTGACAGGCACCATGCTAGTGACTAGGGATACCAAGACAGAAATAAGTCTTACCCTCAACAAATTACTCCCTATAGGAAAAGACCATATATCCAACTTGTAAAATGTAAGTATTTAAAAATTACATACAAAGTAATTGTATTTTCAGAAACTGGCATGGGGAGAGCATTCACAGCTAGAGGTAGGAGAATCAGAAAAGGCCTCTCATAAGAAAGACTGCTTCTGCTGAGTTCTGAAGGCAACTAGGGATTCTGAGAGGCAGAGGTGAGGAGAGAATGCATTCCAGGCATGGGGGGACTAAAGCCCCTGTGAATGCAGTTAGACAGGAAATGGGAGTGTCATGTGTGAGGAACAAAAAAAATTAGTATAGCTGGACCAGAGCCCACACAGAGGTTATAAAAAGTTTCTAATGGATTGGGGCTGTGAGAGCTAAAGAAAGATTTTCCTTTTACTTTTTTTTTCAAAAGTTTTGTTTACCACTTATTTGGGGGAAATACAAATTTAAATGGATTACTAAAGTGATCAAGATACAAGATAGAAAATTAGAGATACCATTTCTTGCAAAATGGAAGAACGTGGCATATAAAGAAGTAATAAATGCTTTAAACATGGACTAAAGTAATGACTCATAAAATAAGCTGACCAGCTTACATTTTACTAATTGATAATTTTTAAAAAGATAACTTTGGCTTTTTCTGATCCACCAAATTACGTATTTTGTATATTTTTATATTCTTTTACATTATTCTTTATTCTATAGTATACATATTATGTGTGTGTGTGTGTGTGTGTGTGTGTGTGTGTATTATACAATGTTCTGTGCATTCTTATGCACATACACCTCTCCTAGTATAGAATATAAGCTTCTTAAAACCAGGGATTGTTTCCTACTTGTCTTTGTATCCCCAGTGCTTGACACATAAAAGGCCCTTAATAAATGCTTCTTGATTGAAGAAGGTATCTAGCAAGTGACCTGTTAGAAAAATAAACATTAATTAAGTGCCTACTATGTCAAGTTGTTTGAGTGCTAGAGAAAACTAAACTATTTCTATGGCCTGGTCAATAATCCTAAAACTGCTTTCCTGAGATGAATTTTAAAAATCCTTTTAAACCAAAAATTTTACATAACAGATTCTTGTTGTTGTTCAGTTGTATCCAATTCTTTGTGACCCCATGGAATACAGCACAACAGGCCCTTCTGCCCTCCAGTTTCTCTTTAAGTCTGTCCAAGTTCATGTTATTGCTTCCATGAAACTATCTACCCCTCTCATCCTCTGCCATCCCCTTTTCCTTTTGCCTTCAATCTTTCCCAACATCAGGGTCTTTTCCAGTGAGTCCTATCTTGTCATTATGTGGGCAAAGTATTTAAACTTCAGCTTCAGTATTTGACCTTCTAGTGAAAAGTCTGAATTAATTTCTTTTAAGTATTGACTGATTTGACCTCTCAAAGGGCTCTCAGAAGTCTTTTTCAGCACAATTCAAAAGCATTGATTCTGTGATGCTCAGCTTTCCTTATAGTTCAACTCTCACTTGCTTTGACTATATGGACTTTTGTTGCCAAGGTGATGTCTCTGCTTTTTAGGATGTTATCCAGATTGACCATAGCTTTCCTTCCAAGGAGCAAGCATCTTTTAATTTCATGGTTGCAGTTGCCATCTGCAGTGACCTTTGGGCCCAAGAATATAAAATCTCATACTGCTTCCATTTCTTCTCCTTCTATTCACCAGGAAAGGATGGGACCAGTTGCCAAGATCTTAGTTTTTGGTTTTGTTTTTTTTTTAATATTAAACTTCAAGCCAGCTTTTATACTCTCCTCTTTCACCCTCATCAAGAGGCTTCTCATTCTTCACTTTCTGACAACAGAATGGTATCTGCTGCATTTCTGAGATTGTTGGTGTCTCTCACGGCAACCAGTATTGGATTCATCCAGAATGGCATTTCACAAGTTGTACTCTGCATATAAGTTAGATAAATCAGGTGACAACACACAGCCTTGTCATATTCCTTTCATAATGTTTCACATTTGATTCTGACTGTTGCTTCTTGGCCCAAATACAGGTTTCTCAGAGACAAGTAAGATGATCTGGTACTCCTACCTCTTTGAGGACTTCTTGTGATCCAGTCAAAGGCTTTAGTGTAATCAATGAAGCAGAACAGATGTTTTTCCAGAACTCCCTTGCTTTCTCCATAATCCAGCAAATATTGCCAATTTGGTGTCTAGTGCCTCTGCCTCTTCAAAAACCAGCTTGATCTTTTCAGACTCATTGGACATTTCTCGTCCTTCTGTACTCTACGACCAATCCAAACTGGTCTTCTTTCTGTGCCTCATAAACAACACTTCATCCTCCACCTCCATACTTTCTCACTGGCCATTCCCTCATGTCTGGAATGCACTCCTTCCTTACCTCTGCCTCAGTGCCCCTATCTTTCTTGGAAAATGCCACTGAGGCACCATCTTTTACACGAAGCTTTTCCTGATACTCCCAACTGCCAGAGGGAGCCCTCTTTCCAAAACCACCTCGTATTTAACCACTTTGCATATATTTGTATTTACTAACTTTATATTTATGGTGAATATATTTTATATGTACTACTTATATTCTCCATCAGAATATAAGCTCACTGCAAAGTAGGTACTGTTTCATTCTTTGTACTTGTATTCCCAGCACCTAACAGCGCCTGGGTTACAGTAGGTACTAAACAGATATTTGAAATTGATTGGTAAGTGTGTTAAGAGTACTTTTTTACATTTAACTAAATAAATGTCAAGCATAAGAGATCTGATACTACCATTTCAACATCAGAATGGAAAAAAATCTTACTAACATCATGTATTTCAAGTGTCAGACACTGGGTGAATGTATTCCCAGCCCCATCTTTCAAGATGCCTTTACTCCACACTCCCACTCTGGCAAATATCTCCTCTATGCATAGATCAGATTAGCAACAAGAAGAATTACTTTTATTATAAATTACATATAAACATTATATAATCTCACAAAGCATATTCCTATATTTCAGGCCTACCAGGTAACCTTGGTTATATTATTTTACCCTTTGCTTTGCTCATAGACTGAAAAGATGGGGAAAATATGAAACACCTTCTCCTTCCCCAGTCCTCCTAACATACAAAAAGGGCAAACCGGTTACTTATTATCTCTAAACAACGTTGATCAGCTCTTCAGAAACAGGCCCTGGCTCATAAAGTCATCACTAATAACTGTATTCAGCTTCACAAAGAGACCCTAAGTATTCATCAAATCTATTTACTTGTCCTAGATTCAGGATTCTAAGTCATTAGAGGGATTTTTTTTAACCATACTGCTTCAGTGAATTAAATCCTATAATAACCTTTGCCTAACAAAACTGTACTTTAAAAAACTTTACAGTCATAAAGTCCTCATTTGCTCCTAAGAGAAAATCTCCCTCGCTATAATTTAAGATTGCTATCACTTATTTTATTCCTCCAGGACAGAATTTTTGCAAGGTTTGAGGAAGTAAGAGTGGCAATTTTTCTCCTGGTCCTTAAATTGTCTTCCAGGACAAGAAAAACTGCTCTAATGAACTCAGTATTTTGCAAAATACTATCATCTTTTATGAATCCTTATTTCTCTTTGGATAGGTAGCCTTGACACTTGAGAGTCTGGAGACACCTGGGTTAAAAATCTCACTTTAGGGGCAGCTAGGTGGCGCAGTGGATAGGGCTTTGGCCTTGGAGTTAGGAGGACCTGAGTTCAAATCTGCCCTCAGACACTTGACACTTACTAGCTGTGTAACCCTGGGCAAGTCAATTAACTCCAACTGCCTCACCAAAAAGAAAAAAAAAATCTCACTTTAAATACATAAATCATTTAACGTCTCTGAAGCCACATTGTCTCATGTGTAAAATGGCAATGGGAATTATGTAAAGTGCTTTGAAAACTTCACAGCACTACATAAAGGTCAGCCATTATTATTTCTGATATACCTAATATCTCCCTCTTGAAACTCACATTCTTCTAGTCCTGTGCTACTTTACCCTCCATATTTTCTTCTTCTCTCTTAACCTACAACTTCTTTGCTCTTCTACCTACTGGATATGAGTTTTCATAGATGCCTCAATACATACCCTCTTACACTTCTCCTTCTATACTCACTTTCTTCAGAGAGCTCATCCAATCTTAAGGCTCCCACTTTCACCCATGATTCCCAAAATCTACATTTCCAGCCACGAGTTCTCATTTATTCTAGTACAGAATGTCCTGTTGTACACTATAAGTAACGAAGACTATAAAGAATTCAAAGGAACCTGGGAACACTGAGGAACTGATACAGAGAAAAGAAAGCAGAACCAAAACAAGTCATACCACAATGATCATAATAATGTAAAAGAAAACAACGCTAAAAAAAATGAGAACTCGGATCCACTGCCTTTAAGAAATTTATCTCAGAGGCAATAGATAGCCCCTGGAGATTGGTGAGCATGGAATAACACAATTAGATAAGTACTTAAGGGCACAGTGATGGGAAACACAATATATAAATAAACATGTAGATATAAGATACATAAAAGGCAGAAGGATAAGGTATTCTATGTGGTTTTTGTATCCAGTTGTCATCTTGTCTCCCAACCCCAAGGAACAAACCATCCTATACACTAATGCTAGATTACCCTTCCTAAAATAATGCTTTCACCAAACCATTTCCCTCTAAGACCCTACAGGCCCTATAAAAAAAAACAAACAAACAACAACTCCCTATTACTTATCAAAACAAGATCAGAAATCCTTCAAGGAGGCATTCAAGGCCTACTCATGAGGGTACAACTTTGCCTAGCCATATTTCTCACCCTAATTCTTCCTGATTAGAATCAGGCAGGTCTCCTTATCATCTCCTTCATAACAAATTCATTCCTACTTCTGTCTTTGATTATTCAATTACCCCAGCTAAATGCTAATTAATAGTCTATCCATCCTTTAAAGCTCAGCTGAAGACTCACCCACAATTTATCACTTTTAATTTCTGTAACATTTTTTTGTGGGAATTGCCATCTAGCTGTTTCACAAAGTATTTTTTAAAATCAGGCAATAGGCATACAATTTCAGCCGTAAAATTTCAGCTATCTTATGCTAATTCTCAATGTTGCCCAAACAACCATTTCACTTGAAAGAACATTGAAGTGTTGCATCCTTTTCAACTAAAATGATGATGACTGTACAAGAAAGTCATACAATTATATAGGATCAGATTTAGACTGGGTAAGGAAGTCATCAGAACCAAACTCTTTATTTCATAGGACAGACAAAACCCAGCCTTGTCATTCTAAATCAAATATCCTTTGTTTCCCTTTTATTAACGATCTTTAGCAACAAAATATATGGGAACTGCTCTGATTCTAATAATACATAACTGTCAAATTTTACCTGGAACATATGATCATCTCGACTGCTGCTCTGCTTGGACGAAGCTGGTGCTTTAGAACTTTCTCCTGTCTTCTGCTTCTTTATGGGTTTTTCTGGAAGAGCTTGCTTTTTCCTCTTTGCCTTAAAATACAAATTTTAAATATGGTCAAAGTATGCAAACAGAAAACATATTTTTAAGTTCAACATGATTCCACAGATGATTCAACTACAAAAAAAAATCCCAACTGGGGCACTTTTAAAAGGAGTAACCTCATTTATTCATTAGGAACAGTCTTCAATCCATACATATGGTAAAAATGAGTAGCAGGCTTTCTTTCCTATTTAAATGTATTACTTATACTTTTTTCTTTAAGATCACTGTAATTTTCCAATGACTTCCTGTGAGAATAAAACCCTTCCTTTACCACAAATAAGTACAGTCAAGCCAAAGCAATCAGCACATTGGTGAACTGGCCAATTCTGACAGTTCTACATCTCCACTGAGAGGTAAGAGACATTCTTAATAAATAGCCCTCAGAAGTCACTATTGGCAATACAGTTTGAATAAAGACTAAAACCATGGCTGAAATTTGTGACCATTAAGTTATATTAGTTATTAAATTGTTTGTTATTTATTTAGAGCAAATCACACAGGTATATAGTAAACTAATGAGGAGGGCAATTTAGAACACTCCTACCATATACTGAATAGAACAAAATAAAAAGATATTTTGTGCTGGGCCCATAAAGTTAACATCTTGATCTTTAGAAACCGTCAAAACAATGATGATTTTTTCAGTGTTATATTAAAAGCTTTCTAAACAGTCACTGAAAATTAGCCAAAAAGCCCTAATAGTATTTAACTGAAATCCTTCCCCAAATCAGTAGAGGGCAGTCATGATCCTTAACTGGGGGGGAAAAATTACCTTTTTTATGGGGGAGTGCAGGAGACACCAGTGAGATTTCACTGGTACTGGGAATTCCTAGCCAGGGAACAACTTCTACCAACAGGAATGAAATTGTTCTATAACTTAGTCTTAGAGTATAAAGCACTGAAATGTTACATTGCCACAATGTTAGACATGTAAGACTTAAGTACATAAAACTGTGTTTTCTTGACCTGTGTCCACTAAACCATACTCTCAATATATGAATAAAATTATTATATTCAGCATTTTACTGGGTATGATGAAAGAAAAGTAAAAAGCTTCAATGAATTAAAGTGAAGCATAGTCAGGATCTGTAGTATCATTTAGATCTAAGTAGTTAAAATTAGCTCATCATACAGAAGCCTATTAATGGGTAAATTAAAAGCACTTTAGTCAAATCGAGAGTCTTCTCTTTATTCCATCTTCTTGAATATCAAAGCTTTGTTTAAGTATTAAGGGTAAAAGATCTCTAATATCTTTTTGAGGCTCTAAATAACTAAATGTAACTTTTCCAAAATTCTTTCATTTTCATTTAACAAACATAGATGCAACAGATCAAAAAACTGGAAGCCAAAAAGACTTAAGTCTACATATTGCATGTGCTTACACAATTACCACAAACAAGTTCAGTCAGGTTACCTTTGCTGGAAATAAAATGCTTTCAGAAGAAATTGGCAGCTAAAAAGATTCTAATCAGATATCTAACACAAATTTCAAAAAAACTTATTATTTTGACAGGAATAGAAAGGTTATTGTGTTCCTTGAGGTATCTGGTAGCTATCTCAACAAATAAGGAGCATGGTTACTGGAAAACTTGACCTATTTCATCATATTTACTTACAAATAAACAGTTCCATTCAAACTACACACAATGTAAAGTGTACCAAATATAAAATTCAATCAAATGTTATAGGCAAAATTTATATGACAATGTTAAACAATAGCTTGGAGGTGGTGGTTAAGACTATCATCATGGAAGAAAAGACAGAAGGATGCTAAACTTAAAAAGGAAGGAAGAGCTGGGTTCTAATCAACTTCTGACATTTACCAGCTGTGTGACCATGGATAAATGACTTAACAATCTCTCTAAGCCTCAGGCAATTTTCTAAGAATTCTAGTAAGTTATGGAAATAAAAGCAGTGATCTGTTCCCACACCAATAAAATCACAGACCTTTGACATATATACAGATATATCCCAACATTCTCTAAAGCAAAGGAAAATGATATCCTAAGACTCAGAACCAGAGCAAATAGTGGCTTTGACCCCACCCTCCTTCCACTGTCCTACAGAGATATACTTGAGTGTTGTAGATTTGCAGTCAGAAGACCTTGGTTCAAATCTCAGCTCTCCCACATCTTACTTTTTGTGGGTCTTTTAATATGTCACTTGCTCATCTGTAAAGTAGAGGACTACATAATCTTTAAGATCACTTCTAATTCTGAAATCCTATAATTCTTCGTGCAAAAGAGGAAGCACAGCACACCAGTTCTGGACAGATAAACCACCACAGACATTATGCAAATAAACTGTTTCAAATGATTACCTTTTTGTCAATTTCACTGTCAGAATCACTCCCAGATGAGCTTGAAGAAACAAGTTCCTTTGATTTGGGCATTCTAGAAAGAAAATACATTGTAATAATGTCTTAAGTTAATTTTAAATGTCTTCTAATCATTTTAACTTAATTTCATGCTATAGGAGAGTCACAGGTCAAATTCTACTACAAATAACTATTATTTTATAGTCAACCTCTACCATAGTAGGAGTGCTATAATAAGTACATTGCTAGAAATCACACTTCCAGACTGAGTGATCTAAACAAAACAGAGTATAGCAGCAAATTACCAATTGGAAAAAAAGTATCCTGAACCCAGAGGGAGCAAAGATGGAAGTGAAATACAAACACCAAAATTTTCCTCCATGCTCCTGGATTTTTTTGAGCTTATTATTCAACTTAATTTAACAAATGTTAAACATTTATGGTGAGATTAAAACAAATTTAAAAACAAGGCCCCTACTCTATTGGAAGATGAGGGGAAAGGGGATACCATACACACATAAAATTCTGTAGTGTGGTTCCATGGAGAGAGCTGAATTTGGAATCAAAGGAGCTAGGTTCAAATATTGGCTTTGTCACTTACCACCTTGGCAAGTTTACTATCTGGGATCCTCAACTGTAAAAGGACCCTCTCAGCTCTAAATCTATTATCCTATTACATTACATTAGAGAGGTACAAAACAAAATGCTATGATAAGATACAAAAGGGAAGATTCTTAATTAATATCAGGGAAAACTTCATGAAGGAAGCAGCATTTGGAACATTTAAAATAGAGAAAACAGTATAAAATAACGTTGAAAAATAGATTGGACATCAAATTGAAGAACGCCTTGAATGCCAAAGATGTCTAAATTCAACAGAACCACTCAGCCTAGGAGTAACAAAGTTTAGAAGATGGATTAGATAAAAGATAACGAAGGCAGAAAAACTGCAGATTTCTGCAATAGTCCAGATGGGTGTAAATAAGAGCTTTGTACTAGGATGGTGGTAGTGGAGAGAGAGATAAGGGGGGAAAGGAGTGAGGTATTTGAGGACAGCATGAAAGAAGAGAATTGGTAGTAAATTGTATGAAGCTGGAACAAAAACTGTGGGTTACTCAGCTGGGCTCTGCTGTCCTACTTCCCACTAGGAAAGCAAAGAGCAGACACAATAAGATATTTGTTAAGGAGAGATATAAGTTCAGAGATAGCATTTAAAATTCAGGATTATTCACTGTATAGGATTACATTATTTCAATCAACAAACATTGAGTGCCTACTATGTGCAAAATATTGTTGTGATGTAAAGACTGGCATGATTATGATTGCTACTTTCAAGGAAATTATCAGGAGAGGATAAAGGGGGAAGACAGAATATGGTAGGGAGAGATGGTAAATACACAAATAACTACAATAAAAGGAGAACATGAGAGGTACCACAGAATTCAGAGATGGTTACAGTGTAAAGCTCAATGTCGAGGTGCATAGAGCAGCACTAGCCCAGGAATGAGGAAGATGTGGTTTCAAAATTCCACCTCAGAAACTTAACTAGTGGTGTGACTCTCTAGGTAAGTCACTTAATCTGCATTTGCCTTTTTTCCTTATCTGTAAAATGGGGATAATAACACCTATCTCCCAGCCTTGTTGTGAGAATAAAATTAGGTTGTCTGTAAAGAACTTTGCAAACCTCTAAAGTGCTATATAAATGCTAGTTGGTTTTGTTTGTTTGTTTTAAGTAATCCAAACTTTGAAACTAACCTATTATGTGACCTTAGGCAAGTCATTTCATATATCTGTGGGGCTGAATACAAAATTAGCACTTGATAAATCCTTTTTGATTGAGGGATGATACCTAAGGTCCTTTCTAGTTCTAACATTTTAACTCAGAGTGCTATAGGAATACAGCAAGAAGAGATTATATACAATTGGAAATCTTGGAAAACCTCATGAGGTAGGTAGCACTAAGGGGTCTGAATGGATAAAACAGAGTCAGCACAGGTACAGTAAAGGGACCACTAAGCTCAAAGAAAGAGAACAGAAAAGCATTTAGTAAGCTCCTGCCATGTGCCAGGCACTGTGCTTAGCACTTTACAAGTATTATCTCATTTAATCCTCACAACCACCCTGGGAGGTAGGTGCTAATATTATCCCCCATTTTACAGCTGAGGAAACTGAGGCAGACAGAGGTTAAGTGATTTAACCAGGGTCACAAAGCTAATGTGTTAAGACTGGATTTGAACTCAGGTATTCCTGATTCCAGGCCTAGCACTCTGAAATGTGCAAGGTGTGCATTCAGGAAAAAGCAGGTAATTTGATTTGAATTGAGCTTCCTTTCAATGTAAGGCAGTAATAGGCTGACCCCACCCAGAGCATGGAGGTCCTAGAATGCCAATCTGAAGGCAATGGTGAACCATTAAAGGATTCTGAGCAAGAGAGTAGTAAGACTCTACTAACTTTTATATGCAGATATATGTCATAACATTTCACATTAGTTTTATTAATACGTTCTTAATTTTCACACAGCACTAAGACAAAGCATTACCTAGTAATCAATGTAACCCCTCACTTTTCTTTTCACACTTAGCGCTAACCCAGTACTAATTACGGGTTTTCACAATTCACAAAGTTATAAGTAATCAGTTGGTTCCTAAGACTATAATAAACCAGAACAATTACCAACTACATTACACTCACTTCAAAATATCCCTACACTTTGAAAACACTTTATCTTGCCCTGACACTTCCAAGTTAATTCAGGATAGGCTTATTGGTACAAACTAAACTGGGTATTCCGGGATTCTACCCCTTCTTCCTTTCTAGAAAATCAAAGTAATGAGAATATCAATTTTTTCCTCAAGTCAATCATTAGTAATCAGCTGTGTATAGCCGAAAATACATGCTAAATAAGCTTCAACACGTTCCTTATTAGGTCAAGGTAAAAATAAAAAAGTGGGACATCTTCCACTGGAAGCTTACTCCAAAAGTATCTATCATACCCTCAAAATAGTTCTGTCAGTTTTGATTGTTAAAATCTTGAAGATGAGGAGTAAAAAGACAGGATACCACAATTGTTCATATTCACCTACTTTAAATGGTCAAATTCTTAAAACACACTATTTACCACCGCCCTAAATCAGCTGTCAATAGAGTGACTTCAATTTTCTGCCCTAGAAGCCAGTACTCTGAAAGGATGAAAAATCATGAATTAAATATAAGCCATTTCCATTCACTTAACTACCAAAGCATAATCTCACCCAACTTCTTTAGTAAACACTTCCCTGGAAGATATTTAATAATCATCACCACAAGTAGTATCTCAAGACAGCAGTACAGATTTCATCTAGATTAAGAACTAAACGGTAAAGAAACCAAACTCAAAATAACCAACGCCTTAACACAAAACCAGCTGCAATTCACATTCATTCTGAAAAGACAGCATTTCTCAAAGAAAGAAACTAAGCTCTTTTAAAAAAATTTTTTCCTTAACAGTATCTGCCCAACATTAATCCTACCTAATTTAAGCAGGAGAGGAAGGTTGTCCTGGATAGGTTATACAATGCATGCAATGTGAAGAAAGGTGTCTTGTCTTTCAGGATGGATGGATGGGGGCGGGGGAGAGGGAGTGAAGAAAGAAGGAAACTGGGAAGGAGGAGGAGGAGGAGGGTGATAAATAAGGAGAATCAGCACCAGAGAGCCAGGAATCATACATGAAAAGGAGAAGAGAAACTGCAGAAGATGGAAGGTTAGGAAGGACGACTTGGGGTGGAGATGCGCGGTGCACCAAGCAGCCGGGGCCGGGAAGGGGCTTGTATCTGGGGGCCCGGGGGAGGGGGTGACCATGGAGGGGAAGGAGGAGGAGAAGGAGGAGGAGGGGGCGGCCCACCAGGGTGGGAGGCTGGAGAGGAGCCGAGGAGACTCCGTGTGTGGTAAGGGGAGGGACTTGCTCCAAGCGCCATTTTCTCCTTCTCTCCTTTCAATGCGATTCCTTTCCCTGCCCCCCGCCCAAGGCCGAGCCCACCCTCCCCAATCTCTCGGATCTCCCCCCCCTTCCCGCTGCAGCCCAGCCGGAGACGGCGGCGCGAGCCGAGGGCAGAGGGAGGCAGAGGCCCGGCCGCCGCATGCTCCCTGCCCCGGGCGGAGCGAGCTGCAGCCCCGGCCCCCGCCCCCTCTGCCGCCACCCTCCGGGGCCCAGGCTTCTTTCGAAGAGCCGAGGGTTCGACAGCGGGGCCCGCCCCCGGAGGCGCCCGCCGCCGCCGCCCTCTCCTCGGCCGGCCCGGGGGTGCAGGGCGCGGGGTCCGCCTCCGAGGGTGGGAGCCGCGAGAAGGTCAGGGACTCCGCCATTTCCCGCCCCGGGGCCCGAAGCGGCCGCTCGGCCCACAGCGAGCACGAGCTCCGGCGGTGCCTAGGTCCCCCTGCCTTGGATGGGGCCCCGGCGCGGCGCGATCGGCCGACAGAAGAGAAGGGAAGAGGAAGGAGGGAGGGAGGGGAGGGCAGGAGGCGCCGGCCTCGATGACTCACGCTCCGTTCCTGCGGCCGCACACTCCGCTGAGAGCTCGGGAGTGACAGAGAGCCGGAAATGACGAAAGGAAAGAGTTGTCCCGCCCCTCCTCCCCTGAGGGCGGAGAGAGGGAGGTGTTCGGTATGGGGGCGTGTCCTTTCGAGCCAACCCGAGGCCCTGTTCCAGGTGTTTAAAGGGACCGCGTCCTTGGAAGAGGAAGACGTAAAGGAAGGGAAGGCAGGAAAAAAGGCAGGATGTATGAAAAGAAGGATGAATAGTTTTACCCCCAGAAGGACAAGGGAGTGGAGCGTTATCCTACCATCCCCACCCCTGACCAGGCTTCTTGCAAAGCAGGACTGTGTTGATCCCAAAGCTGACGGAGTGAAAATATGAAAGCAGAAAAACTCTTTCTTTCAATTAATATTTATTAAGAACCTACCGTAGAAAAAGAGAGCTTGGAAGAGTGAACAGAGCGCCAAAAGTGACATTAGAGCACCTGTGTTGGAATCCCAGCTCTGCTCCTTTACCTGTGTGTGAGCTCCAGGAATTCCCTTAACCGCCTTGCTGTCAATTTCTTACATAAAAGGAGAGATTTGGACAGGATGGCCTCTAAGTTCCCTTCCATTAGTAAGTTCTTGTTGACTTGACTTCCAGCTGTGAATCTCTGATTCTGTGTGACACTATCCAAAACTGATTTTAAGCCATAAGGGACTATAAAAGTGGATAGCATTGTTCAATAGAGACGAAACCTATGATTTCATTGGTATAGAAACTCCCAGGTGAAGAAATTCGTCCCACTGCAAATTGGCATTGTAACTTAAAGCCTCAGATGCAAGAGCGCCGAGATACTAAATGACTCAGGGTCACATAAACAGTAAGTTTTAGAAGTGGGACAGGTTTCAGGGTTGGCCCTTTGTCCCCTACAGGATGGTTGGACTGCACCGTGCCTCCTCTCCTACTTCTCATGCTGTCATTATTGTTCCAAAAGAGCTGTAATGTGCTGTCCCTACCCTCAAGCAGTTTAATCTAGCTGGGCAAACAAAACATGCCCGCATATGAAGGTAAATAATTGTGGGAGAGTTAAGTAACAGTACCATACAACACCTTTGTTAACCAAAAGAATTCATAAATTCCAAGGAGATGATGTTTGAAAGAACTCCAAAAGCCATAAAGGGCCATGTAAATGTCAGGATTAGTGCCAGTAATTTTGTTAGGAAACATGGGAACTCCCAGGAATATGTCCCAGAATAAGGATTCCTTCCCAAGGCCCTTTTCCTCCATCCTCTTTCCTGATTGAGCAAGCTGCATGTCTACAGGCTGTAGTTCCAAAGGTGTTTCTGCTTCCTTTGGAACAATCCCCCCCACTGATCTGAAGGATGCCAAGTGCTGCAGGGTAGCCAGGGAAGCACCTCCCCCACCAGTATGTAACTGGGCCATGCAAACCCTGGGAGTCTGACAGGTACCTGATATCATGCCACAGTGCCTCTTCATAAGCTTCTCAACTACCAATCCATGCTAGAACTTCCTCCGTGCCCAGATCAATATTTTTAAATGAATCTGTGCTCCCATATGATTTTTTTAGTGGAAGAATACAAGAGATATCGAAAAACACAGATTATAAATTCTATTAAAGTTGGGAGAAAAGAGAGCTTATTATGGTCTAGGATGTTCTGAAAAGGCATCATGGAAAAGGTGGGCCTAAAGCTATGCATTAAAAGATGGGTAAAATTTGAATAGCAATTGTAATGAGTATAATGAGGGGAATGGACCACTGTGAGTGGAATAACTCAAGGGGAAGCATAATGAGTCAGAAAAAATGGAGAAAAGCCTGCCTCCCTCTCTTTGAGTTATACTCCCTAATACTGAATCCTAATTGAATAAGTTATAAAGCAAAAGCTCCTTATGAGATAGGGGTACCCAGGGGCAGCTAGGTGGTGCAGTGGATAGAGCATCGGTCCTGGATTCAGGAGAACCTGAGTTCAAATGTGACCTCAGACACATAACACTTGCTAGCTATGTGACCTTGGGCAAATCATTTAACCCCATTGCCTAGCCAAAAAAAGAGAGAGAGAAAGGAGGGCCCACTGGGCTGCAGGTGACATAATATTGGGGCTGCTTTTTTAGCAATGGGCTGAAGTACATGTGTCTCTCTATTCCCTTTTGTCTCTGGAGATTTAGTCAGCTTCATCCTGTTATAACATTTAGCAAATCTTTTAGCTTATGTAATGACTTCTCAAGTCCACATGGTCTCCTCTTCTACTGCTTTATGGAGTTTATATCAAATTAAAAGTTAGGAGTACAAACTGATGGTTTTACCTATGAGCATGACTTTTACTATATGTTGTATGGATCTAGACATTGCCTATGAATTAATTCATGGTATTTTTAGGTAGTAGGGTAAAAAAGTCTTGTCATCAACTGTGATGCTTATGTCACTACTAGGTTTATTTGAATTTATCTCCTTTCCCTTAATTGGTAGTAAAGTACTTTTTTGAAAATCCAAGCTTTGGGGGCAGCTAGGTGGCGCAGTGGATAGAACGCTGGCCCTGAAATCAGGAGAACCTGAGTTCAAATCTGGCCTCAGACCAAACACTTGACACTTACTAGCTGTGTGACTCTGGGTAAGTCACTTAGCCCCAATTGCCTAAAAAGAAAAAAAAAGAAGAAAAAAAGAAAATCCAAGCTTTGTAAAATGGTGTCCCGACCTATAAAAAAGAGTCTAGAAGTAAATCTGAGATTTCTGAAACAGTCAGGCAAGGATTAGTGGTAAGGAGGTGGGGAGAGGGGGCAGAAGAAGAATACCACACAATAGATTTAAGGTATACCTCATTAGAAATGAATAAAGAAAACCTCCAGTAAAACTGGGTCTTGACTGCCAATGCTGTCCCCTTCTTTCCAATTTCAGAATCATAGCTACAACTTAGGGATAGGGAGAGGAACCATGAAAAGGAGACGAGGATTCTTCAACAAACCACCACACTACTGTGGTGTCTTGGAGGCTAGGAAAGAAGAGAGTTGCAATGAGAATGTAATCAGCTGTGTCAAATGCTGATGAGAGGTCAAGAAGAATGAGAACTGAAAAGAGGTTATTGGATATGCAAATTAGATGTTATTGGTGGCCTTCGAGAGAAGTTTCTGAACAGTGGTAGGTACAGAAGCAGATACCTTAAACAGGAGTTAATGGGTTGTGAGGAAACTGAAGTAGTGTGAGTGTATTAACTTTATATTTATGCAATATATACATATATATAACATATATATATATACATATATGTACTTGTCTCTTCTATTAAAATGTAAGTTCCTTTGAGGGTAGGGATTATTTTATTCTTCGTGGTTTTTTCATCAGGGCTGAGTCCAGTGTCTTGCAGTTAGTAGGAACTTATAAAAAACTTGATTGATTGATTGGTTTTGATGGGGTGCTAATAATGGCACCGGACCTTCCCAATATAGTCCTTTCAACCTGTCCTTGCATTGTGGCTTTGACCCTGCCACTCCTTAATTCCATCCAGTCTCCTTATATGATATCGCAGTCACCCCATGCTATTGGCCACACTATAAAAAAGTCGGTCTCTCTACCAAATTGCTCAGATTCTTAAAATAGCAGAGCCTCACTAGGAATCTCTCCCACTCCAACCAGTGTTTTAATAAACCTTGTCTCTGACTGAATGAAGGCTTGAGTCAAATTCTTTCACAGCAGGACAGTCTTTTACCTTTGAATTTCAGGGTTCCCACCACCCCTAGACCACAACAATCTGATAAGCAACTCATTCAAGAACTTTGGCAATGAAAGGGAGTGAACTAGAACCATAACTAGAAGGAACAACAAAGTCTAGTAAAGTGTTTTCAGATGTATGTGTGTATATGTGAGTGTGTGTGTGTTTGTGTTTTTATATGTATAGACACAGAGACAGCTATGCAGGTTTAAATAAAGAAAGAAAGGAGCCAATGTAGAAAGAGATTGGACATACTTAGGTGAGAACATGATTGAAAAAGTTAAGTTTCAAAAGATTTTGGAGGAGACGAAATTCTGAGGTAATAATGATAGCTAGTATTTACATAGTGCTTTCAGGTTTATAAATATTATTTCATTAGGTCCTCACAACAATCCTAGGGGGTAGGTGTTATTATCATCCCCATTTGCAAAATGGGGAAATTGAAGCCAAGTGACTCGCCCCCGGTTACATAATTAATAAGTATCTGAGGCAGAATTTGAACTCAGGTTTTCCTGATCCCCACGCCAACATTTTATCCACTGTATCATGTAAGCTGCCTATATTAGGTTTGAAAGCAGAAGGGACACCTCTTGCTCTGAAATTGCTGGGAAGGATAAGAATCATATCAAAATAGTTATTTAGAAGAAGAAAAGGTAAAAACTGAGGACACTCTCACCTGAGGGTCTGGCTCTGTCAGCTCACTTTTGTTTGGCCAGGTCCAAGGGGGTGGCTCTAACTTAAAACAGCTCTGACCCAATCAGTCATTGTGATGATAAACAGTTCCAAGTTTGACCTGATCACTGTGCTGTTTCTAGAGTTAATTAATTGCTTGATTCATAGGAGAGAGAGGGAGGGAAAGAAAGTGAATGAAATCAAGTGCTTAAGGAAAGTAACAAAGTTTTGGAATAGATTCCGGTGGGGAGAACTTCAGGGAATCAGAAAAGGATTCTAAGCAGCAAATGAAGGCTTATTTGAAGACAGACTGCATGAATTTGTGGTGGATTAAATCAAAAGGTTTCCATGGATTTTCCAGTAACACTTAGCAACTCTATTATAGGGACAGAGGAAGCAGATGATGGGTTTGACCAGAATTAGTGTGGAAAGCATAGAAGATCAAGGTCTAAGACAAACCTTGCCAGGCAATAATTCCACACCTAACACTGATTCCTTTGGACTTTTCCCTGTTGGTCTGGTCAAGAATTCACTGAAGTCAATTTATTCCCTAATACCCTCATCCAGGTGAGCTGACTTTTATTCAAACCTGCCTTTTTCTGGTTATCAACAGCATCCTAAGCCAGATGATTATAGTCACCGTGATTCTGTAAGTCTTTGTGTCTCTCTTCTCCATTGACAAAATGCTTGGAACCCCAGTGAGAATCCCAGTGGGCCTAACAGAGGCAGAGCAGCT